ACACACACACACACACACACACACACACACACACACACATAGACACACACAAGCAGCTTTGTTCAGCTTCATTAAACCCTTTTCACTTCTGAAATGGTGAAAAGGGGGTCAAGATCATTAATGGAGACAAGGCCGGCAGATTGTGAAATACAGGCCATGAGCGAGTCTGTCTGGTTGCATAACCTTTTCTTGGACATATTTTCAGAAATGTCCTGGTCAAACTTGGCCAATTATTCAATGATCCTTTGGAGAAAGGAACATGCTGTCCAGTGTGTTTGGTAATGCTCCCAGCAGCCATGTCATAAGTCATGCATTTATTCTTGAAACTGACCCATCGAGATTCCATTAGGCTGAGAGGCGGCCCGATAAGATTTGGAAAAGCACTCAGCATTTTGACATTGGATATCTCCTGCTTTAGCTCTTGCATTCACCCAGTTGCACAGAGTTGGACAGTTTCAATTTCATTTCTAATTCCATGTGATCTTGAATATTTTGAGCATAACTGTTTGGAAGGGCAAACCATGTCGGAGCTTATGTAAAATACCCAGGGAGCGTGCATGTTTGTGAATGTAGATTTGCATTCTAATATATAGCTTTTCTCCACTGTGTTATGAAAATCCACTGACTTTTTGTTACAGCTCGGATCTGCCGTGCTGTCCTCTAGTGGCTGTCCTCTCTTTAAATGCATTTACTCTGCTACCTTCTGCCTCTTTTCTTACATCTACCGTCTTTCACACTTTGTGTATCGCCTGCCTAGAAGCCCCCAAGGTTGCCCGGGGTGTGCTGTGCCAGTGAAAATTCAATGCCACTGAAACTTTAATTAGCCAGACTGTGTTTCAGTGGCAGGCGGGTGGCAGCATTGTAGAAAAGGTCATGCGACTCTTCTGCAGTCTGCGGCACCCTGGGTTCCCCTCAGGTTTTATTCCCCCCCACATGCCCAGTCCCCCTTCAGCACAAAACACCTCCTTTCCTGGCCATCGGCCCCATCAGCTCTCCCGGGGAGCCTCTGTGTTAAACATAAATGCTCGCTAAATTTGGCACTGTACGTTTAGGAGAGTAAACTGTGGGTGACTTTCAGTCATGTTAGCCGGCCTAGCTGTCGTGCTCTTATGTGTGTACACGGCATCCTGTATCGACCCTCGTGAGTGCTGGAAGTGAGACGGGTCAAAGATGATTTTTAGGTCGGCGTTTGTAGCATCACACACAAAGCAGCTCTTCCCACCCTGGTTCACATCTAGCTCAGAAGCAAACATGCTACCGCCAAAGTGATGCATTCTTGACACCGGGCCATATCGTAGCTGCTGATTGGAGGCTGCTGAATGCGCCTGAGAGATGCCAGAAAAATAAATGCCTTGTGGTTTTTACCCCGTTCTTGTGAACTCTAATATTTTATTACCAAGATCCTGTCTTTGAGAGCCAGTAACCTTCATCAAGTTCTCTCTCCCAAAATTATGTTCTCATTTAAAATGCAAAACACAGACGGATTTAATTTTGTGATTTGCACAAATATAGAGAGTCATATAATATGCATATTTCCAAAGTGTTTAATTTACTGATTGCTGATTTAAGGGCGTATCTCTATCTTTGAAGACAACACTGTGAATTACAATATTGCAGAATGACTGTTATCTATGCAGTAAAGACCTATAGTGTGCGAAATGAGGGTTTGGGCATTCAGCAGCAGCGGCATGCTTTCTCTATATAGTGACAGCATTGGATCGTTGTTGGTGCCATTTGTAGTTCTGTTTTGGGGATACTGTACTCACCAGTGTGTTTATGCAGATGATTAGAGACGGTTACAGATATGATATGATTTCCTTGTTCTCCCCTCAGCTCTACGTACTTTAAAAACCAAGACTGAAATTGCAGAGACACAAGTATACAGTTAAAAACAACTGAGGATGCGGTTATTGCAGATGCTAAAGCCAACATTTCTTTTCATTCAGCTACCTCGTTCAACCTTTTTTGTTCCTGGGAGTAATAATACCAAAGTTCGCACAACGGTTGGAGTTACATGCTGTTAGATTCGGGTGGGTGCCTAATCTGTTTTATTCAGCTGGCTCTGTGTTGGGTCCTCCACAGCCGTCAGCCTAATATATGGGTGTAGGGAAGAGGCCAAAGGAGTGGAGTGGGGATTTGTTGGCTGAACACTCTGATAGTGAGAGGCCTTCTTTTTTTGCCTGGCTAGCAGAGTGGATGGATAGATGGATGAAGAAACTCAGAGAAGGAATAGCTGTTATTGTGAGAAAAATTCTTTGGCCTAGCCACCAATGTTGAGGCAGTAGGCCAACCATAAGCCCAATACCAACCAACAAAGCAAGCGCATACCCCCCCAAATCACTTTGGGGTAAACCCGTTTAACCAGCATCCACATTTTTCTTGTTTGCGCGCTCCACCCCGGGCGATGATTAGAAATAGAGGAAGGAGGTAGCTGAAAGAAAAGCTGAAAATAAGAAGGACAGGAATTTCTTCATGAGGTTTTACACCTGGAATAACAAGTACAAAACTGGAGGTATTTTACCTGCCAGCCAAACCCTTGAAAACTGTTTTTCCTTGTTTCTTTTCCCCTTTTCTTCCCCTATTTCTCATTTCGGTTCTCCTCACTCAATTTCAGTCCTGGCCGAACAGCTGTGCCCTCAGTTGCAGTGGGTTTCGCATCCGTGGACTGGCCTGATCTCACAAATAGTCAGCCAAATCAAGAGCTAATCACCACCAATTGCTCAAATAACCTTTCTCGTGTGTGCTGAGGGAATGGTGGAGGGAGACCTAGAGAGGGGAAATGGAGGGAGAGAGGCATGAGATATGCTAAGCACAGGAGGTGAGGGGGAGAGAAGGGAGGGGTGACCCTGGGACCACCTGTTTTTTATGGAGCAGAGACTCAGGCACTCAGTGCCACATTATCCAAAATGACTCTCTGAGGTCCAGTGTTGACATTAGCTGCTTAGCCATCAGAGCTTGCCTGTCCCATGGCTCCATTTCAAAAAACTGACAGAGGGGAGAATAAGTGTGACCAAGGGCTCTGCAGTCCAGCTTCAAAGTCTCAAATTTACCATCACGTCACCCGCAGTACATCTGCATTTAAGCCAGAGAAAAACACTGGCAGATAATATCTTGCTTTTCTATGTTAGGCCAATGAGTAGCAGGAATTTGCATTACAAAAAGAAACTCAAGTATCAAACAACATGGATAGCATTTCAAGGTATGTTGTCACTAGGTTTTATGGACTCTAAAATGTCTATATTTGTATCTTTCTCCATAGTAGTCTGTCTTCTTAATTCAGTTTTTTCCCCTTGAATTGTAAGTGTCTCTTTTCA